CGGCCGAGCGCACGCGGCTGGAGCGGCAGGGGGCGGAGGCGCAGCGCGCGCTCGACGAGTTCCGCTGCAAGTAAGCGGGGCTGGGCGGGCGCGGGACGGCCCGGGGCCTGTCGGTCACGCGGGCGCTCCACCGGTTGCGCGAAGGGGTGCCCTTGGCTTGTGCAGTCAAGTTTCGGTTTAAGGTGCATGCAATAAGATGCACGGGTTTGGGGGCGCCTGGCTGGCTCCGTGGTAGAGCATGCCACTCTGGATCCTTGGGGTGAGTTCGAGCCCCGCCTTGGGTGTAGAGATTACTTAAAAATAAGATCTTAAAAAAAAAAAAAAAAAGCACAGGTTTTAAGGGCATAGTTCAATGAGTTTTGACAACGCTTGCACCCCTGTAACCACCTAAAACAAGCAGGGTACTTCCACCACCCCAGAATGTGCCCTCCCATCCCCTCCCAGGCAGTCTGCACCCCTCCTCCACAGAAATCCCCGGAGGCGCCGGCTGTGCTGATTTCTGTCACCTAGATTAATTTTGCGTGTTCTGGAATTTCACAAAGATGAGATCCTGCGCACGTGCTCTTATACGTCTGGCTTCCTTTTGCTCAGCGCAGTGTTTTAGAGATGGATCCGTGTTGTTGGATCCTCACAGCCTTATCGTATAATACATGATCCTGCCTCTGTTTTGCAGATGAGGAGAGTAAGGCATTGACAGTGAGTGTCAAGATTTGGGGCAAGGTCACTTAGCCAGTGTATCCCTGCCCTGGGATGGAATTCAAGTCTTGGGCACGCTAAGTCTGATCATCTTTTCCGCATCATAGATGATACCTGGAAATTATTTCAATGTGTGCCCTCTAGGGTCTTGCTACTTGATGTGCGGTCTGTGGACCAGCAGCACTGCCATTACCCAGGAGCTGGTTGGAAATGGAGTTAAGCTTGAAGTTTCAGAAGCCCTGGTCCAGAGTCTGGTCCCCTCTTTCCATAGACTGAAGAAGATATAAGATCACCTGAAGAACTATTAAAAAGAAAAAAAGGATGCTTAGCAATTTGCCACCACCACCTTATAAATGCATGTGCTCTTTTTTACTCTGCAGGGGCCCCTTCAGTGAGTGGATTTATTCTTTGGTGCTCCAGCAGGTGTAAAATGGCTTGTCCACATCACAGTGTAATCTGCAATAGCCTGGAACAAACCTAAATGCCTAGTCCTAGGAGATAGGTTCACAAATTGGGCTTCATTTACACAGTGAAATGCTATGCAGTTGTACAACGGGGAATAGTGCATTACTATCATTTAAAGGGAAAGGGGAGAAGAGTAGAATTTTTGCTTGCATCAGGAAAAAGAACAGAAGCAGACATACTCAAAAACCCAATGACACTGGTTACACATATGAAGAGGGGAGTAGGAACAGGGCAATGGGAGCAGTGGAAACTTTTAAGGGAAGTTGTTTTTAATGTAATTAAAATATTTGTCTAACCACATAAGAGATTCATTCATTTAAAAGTTATATACATTAATGTAAAAATCCAGATGTCCAGGCCCCACCCTGGACCTCAGGTGCAGCCCAGAAATTTTAAGTTTTATGAGCTCCATGGGTAATTCCAGTGAACAGCCAGGTTTGGGGACCCCTGGTTTAGGGTAGCCAGAGAGTCTTCTCCAAACATGCTCTGTGTTTGAGTTTTATGTCCTTAATCTGAATCCTGGGCAGGTTATTCAACAAAGTGTATTGAGCATGTTTATCAGATCATACTCATTGCTTTCATCCTCACCAGTCCTTCTGTTTCTGGGTTTGATCCATAGAAACAGATTTGGAGCTGGAAGAAGGGATAGGGAAATCCACCAGTTGTTATAGCACTTAGTGGGAAAACTGAGGCTTGGGGAGGGCCTGTAGGTGGCAGGTCTTGAACTCGGTTTTTCTTACCCTCCACTTTCTTGGATCCATTCTTGGATTCCTGTGGAGTGAGACCCAGGGGTAGGATCTCATTCAAATGAAGCTCATGTTTTCTGAAGCAAAGGGAAGTGTACACTGGTTCAGACACCCAGGGCAGCTCCATGGGCCAGCAGGAAACCCCACATCCCTGGGGGTCTTTATATATTTTTAAAGATTTATTTACTTATTAATTCATGAGAGACATAAAGAGAGAGAGAGAGGCAGAGACATAGGCAGAGAAAGAAGCAAGATCACGACCTGAGTCAAAGGCAGACAGACGCTCAACCACTGAGCCACCCAGGTGCCCCCCAGATGTTCTGCACCTAGTCATTAGGCCCCAGGCTACTGTGATTTGGCTGGGTGAGCAGGACCCTTTAAGCCCCTCATTGAAGGAATGGCCATGTTGAGTTTTCCTGATCTTTTCCTGATTTCACTTGGTTCTGAGTTAGACGTCCATCATGGAGCTGTCCCTTCAGGCTCTGTGATTTATTTAGTGATTCCTCTTAATTTATTCCTTCCCATTGCCACCTTGAAGATACTTTGATATTCCGACTGAGGTATTGGGATTTAAAAATTATTGTGAAAATGATAGCCCATCCACGTGCATGGGTATACACACACCAAGTTTGGTTTTACATTCCCAGAGGTGAGTTGATGGCTAGTGAAAGCCAGGTGAAAATAGTGCAGAAGTGGGAAGATATATGCAGCCTTGGTAGGCATATTCTCTACTTGGACAGTTGAGTAATTTCAAAATCAGGTTTTCAGCACACCGGATGAAGACAAAATAAAGCAAGGATGAAATAAAAACGAATAAAACTACCAAAATACATTGATGAATACAGTCAATTGTCCAGATTGCTACAAACCAAAAATATGTAAAAACAATCAGATGATCGAAGCCAAAATGTTTTTTTTACTTTATGAATTCATTTATATATTCACTTACGTGAATACATATATGAATTTATCGTGAACTCTTTATTATGAAATCACTTGTCTTTGATATCTAGACAGCATGAAAATTACCCACGGTAACAGGTTATTTCATTACTTATCAAACATGTTTTTAAGCTACAGAAATTCCTAGATGTTTCTAGCAGGAAAGAGCAATGAGAAAATTTGGATTTTGTTAATAGTTTTATTCTCAAAGCTAGCCATTTAATGGGTAACTAGCCATTAAAAAATAATTTCTGGCTCCGTTAGAGCCACACACAAAAGAAATTGCTAAATGTGACATCCTGGTGGGAAATGTAAAACTTGTACAAACTTATTTTGCTTTCTGGTTATAGCTGAGCTTCTTAGGTAGCCTTAGAACTGGGATTGTGCACAGGGCACATATTCCTAATTGTTCTTCCCTGTAGTCAGGACTCTTTTAATTCTGAGGACACAGCAGCATGGTTTTCTAGCACTTCTTTTGATACTTGACTTGTGCCTATGGCGTGGGTGTACGAGGGCCCTGACAGCTATGCTTTGTGGGTTGGGCTGAGGGCTAATTAGGATTAGTTTCAAACCACAAATGGCATAAACTCCAAAGTGACTTTGGCTTTTCCAGGATGGAAGTTTGTGTCTGTCTTGTGTAAGGTCTGGCCTAGCAAGCAGTTCAACATGCCACTGTATGGTGTTTGAGGCTCAGAAGGCTCTGCCTTTCCTTCAGGGAATCAGCATCTATGTTTCAGGTGCAGGATGGAGGAGAGGATGCAGAAGGACACATCCACATCATATCTTACCAAAGATATTTGGAGGCTGCCACAGACTTAGGTTTACATCCCACTGGTTGGGACTTAGTTACATGGTCACACCTGGCTGCAAGGAAGGCTGGGAAATGTAGTCTTCCCTCTGGGCAGCCTGTGCCCTCCAAACATCAAGGGCCCTGATTCCTGGAAGAAAACCAGGCTGGATATTGGGGGCCACTTACAGGGAACAAGGGGCCTTCTTTCTTTCTTAAGGGGATGAAATTCCCCCTAGAAGGAAACTCTTTCTGAACAGAATGATTTCTGGGGTCTCTCTGGCTCCTTGATCCCTATCATGTTCTACGTGTCCAGGGAAGAAGATGACTAGAAGGAAAAACTGCTTCCATTCCTAATACCTGCTGCTTTATCAGTTTCTGTATATTTACATCCCTTCTTGACCCAGGCAGTGTGGTGTGAAAATTATGGCATAGTTTTTGGTGTCAGATTCAAGTGTGAGTCCTGACTCCACCCCTTTTTTTAGTTTGGAATCTTCCTGAAGCCGAGCCTGATCAAGGGGTTTAAGGGCAAGTAGCTTATTTGGAAGGTCCTTAAGGAGCAAGGTTGGGGAGCGAGGAAGTGAGACAGGAGGGGAAGGCAGAAAATACTGAGTGCATTATCCAGCAAGTTAACATTGTGGGCATCTGGAGCTCACCTGCCAGATAGAGAACTACTTCAGTTGTCCCAGCTGAGGGTGAGGGAGCTGAGGTATTTATGTCAGAGGTTGAGGGCTGCCTCAGAGGAGGCCTTCGGTGTGCAGGGGTGAGGGCAGAGAGTGAGGGTGAGGTGTTCAAAGCAGCCGCCCAAGATCATGGGCAGTTTCTCAGCCTCAGTTTTGTTATCTTTCACTTGGGGAACAATAATAACAGCTCTCTTCCAGGGTTTTGTAAGGATTAAATGGCATAATCCAGAAAAACTCACACATGTGGGTTAATACAATAGTGTAGGTAAACCAAACAAGGTCAGGTTAATGGTGTTTGTTGTAGGTCATGGAGGGCAGGCCCCAGTCTCTGTGGCACTACGGTGCTTGGATTAGGGGTGTGTGGAGATATGACTCCTTCCTCCTTGGGGTGGCTGGGTGGGGGGATGGGCCTCCAGGATGGGGACTCCTGGTCCATTCACCACTCCTAGTTACCCCCATGTGTGGTGGCCATGGCACCACTCTGCACGCACCATGCTGTGGAAGAGGTCAGGGAGTGGCAGGCTCCACAATGCAGTATTAGCCTCTATCTTAACCTTAGGGACCTCTTCTTGAAGAGCTGGCATAGCACACATCTCAGATGAAACTTAACACTGATTGTGTGATCATCACGTATGGAATCATGGAAGCTGTCCAACTTTTGCTTTTGTGTCGCATTCGCAGGTATGAAAATGAATGTGAATGTCAACTGCTCCTAAAAGAAATGCTGGAACGGCTTAACAAGGTGAGCTGAGCATGAACCTGAGTTTGAGAACGGAACTTAGTAACTGAAATGACTGTCACACACCTTCTCTCTGTGTCCTTTTAGGATTCACCTATTTCTTTTGCTGTCACTCTCTTTCTTGATTCATAGCTTCAACTAAGTCTTTGTGTGAACTCACACACACACAAGACACACACTCCTCTCCCTCAACACTCCCCGTCTCTGGAGAGAACCCTAGGCTATTAAGCTTATGGGTTGCTCTAGGCTATCCAAATATGGCAGCATTACAGTGACCAGCTATGGTTGTGTCATTCAGATGTTCTGGTCCCAAATACACCAAACTTAGAGAACTTGCTTTGGCCAGTGATTATTGGGATGCAAAGATGTCTCTACTCCGTTGGCTGAGAGACTTGAGATTGCTCTTCTGCAAGAGAACTCCCAGAGAACAGAGGAAGAAGTTTCAGAGAGGAAGAAATTGCCATTTCCCTTGAAGCTCTCCCCTCTGGGAATCTGGAGAGTAGTCATGTGGGGGGCACCAGGAATTCTTAGCTTCTTGTTGGAGACCCCACTGCAGAGTACTGCAGGGTTTTCCTTTGCAGGGAGTTTCCTTCATCAGATCCTCCAACATCATCCTAACTGGCTTTTCTGCTCTAGCCAGGGGAACTTGACTACCAAATGGAATAATCCTGGATCTCAGAGATTGGCCACAACTAGGATGGCAAATAGTTGTCATTTCAGAGCTCAAATATCTGAGCAGAAAGACCCATAGAGACTGTTTCATTGAAGGATTGCTTATTTAGGGCACATGGCTGCTTGCCCCTTTCCCCTCCATTCTATACCTGTAATTCCTCATCAGAACTACTGATAAAACCTTTCCACGCTGTGCCCAGATATGGCCTTAGGATTCTTCTCCACATGGCACGCCAGGTAACCACTTCAGATAGTCAGAGTTTAACTCAGGATATTTGCCAGTCCCTGGCTTTGTCCAGCCTCTCTTGTCTGGGATGAGTCTGCTAACTGCTGGGAAAGTTAAAACAACAATCTAGGGAAACTGAATTTTGCTTTGTGTATGGTACCTACTACATGATGCTTTTGTGCTCTTCCCTGCGTGAGGATATAATGTATTGTCCAAACTAGGACACTGTGTGCTGTCAGTAATTAGCAAGGTCAGTTAATAAAAACAGATTGTCTCAGGCCAGCTACTGTGTGAGTACCCCAGATATAAGCACAAAGGTGGAGGTGAGTGTGCTTAGAAGAGCCCTCAGTGCCCAGGCTCAATGATTGGTCTTGTATTGAGTTGGACCTAGATGGCCCCAAGCCTATTAAAGGTTGAGCTAGGATTTGGGTGTTATTAGCATCAGGTATCATCCAGCTGTTTTGCTGATACTTATAGCTCATCCCCATTCCTGTGTTTGGTGGTTGATCCCAGGCTGCCGGATGGGGCTGCCATGGATCACGGTTTCCAGGGACATAGGTGCCTGACACCCTTCACTCAGATGCCAGTTTCAGCCCCTCTCCAGAACCACCACATTTTACTCTGTGAGTATTTGTCCTCACTGCAAGCAGGGTCCCCTCTGGCCTTAAACTCCTAAGGTTGTCACTCATGCAGTGCCATCATGTGCACTCTTCATAGAAGAGGGAGAAAGAATGTCATCCCTCTTTTTAGTGTTGGTGGAGAGTAACACTGGATTTAAAAACAAGCTCCAGCCTCCTGTTGTTGTTCTCTTATTACAAAAGCAATACATATTCTCAGTAGAAAAATAAGGTATTGGAGATAATGCTAGGTAAAGGAAAGGCCTCCCACTATTTTCTCCCCCAGAGAACACAGCTGTAACACCTTTGTATATATTGTGATGAGAACGTGGACAACTGAAGCATCAGTCCCATGAGAATGTTACAGAAGTTCTGGGGAAAGATGCTACTACCAGCAACTCGGGCCAGAGCAAGCACAGGGCATCAGCATGTCTATTCCCTGGGTCCAGGGAAACACACTTCTGCCCACAAGGGAGCTGTACGGTCCAGACAAGGAAAGCAGCCTGATAATAGGACTGCCACTCTTGAGTATCTATGAAACTTTGGGTGAACTGCCTCATCTCTCTGAGCTTCTTCATCTCTAAGTAGGAGCAATAATAATTGCCACCATCATGGAGTGGATGTCTGTCAATGTGCATAGCAAGAATGAAGTCACATAATAGTGTATGTGACTTGCCTGTCACAATTATTATTACAGAGTACTTGATGTGATGGATGCCAGCTTAGTTTCCCCAGATTGTGGGATTCATGACTCTGGTGGAGTAGGAGGTGATTTTAGATGGCGCATGGAGGAATAATTGTCTAATGGCTGTGAATTTGTTTTTATGTTTACCCCTTCTCGATAGCAGGTGACCCCAAGATGTTCCTTTTTGAATTCATGTAAGTAAAAATGAATCAATTTGAAGAAAAATAGGGAGTGACTAATAGTACAGGTGGTACTTGGATGTAGCAGAAATCATGAGCACAACATACATGACGCAGGGAGGTGGCTGCATCCGTGCAGTAGCTTGGGGCCTTATACAGTTTTATGGTCATCCATTCTACCCTCAGGAACGACCCAGTCCAGCCCCTCCATTGCCAGTGAGGAGGCTCACCCTTGGTGAGGTTCGATGACCTTGGAGCCCCACAGCCCATCCTTGGCAGGCGTAGTCAGGAATATTTTGTGTACTTGGCTCTTTCTCTGCCTCCCAAGGACAGTCAGGGAATCTCTCTCAGGAGACAGACACAAAGCCAGGGTCTCTGGGTAAAAATGTCCCCTTCACGCTTATGGTGCTCCATCCTTATCCCCTGGGCTATCCCACAGACATGCTGAACACACTGGCAGCTTCCTACACGTCTGAAGCTGTACAGATTTGCCTGATCTGCAGGAGGCCCAGTCCAGAAGTGTGGGTGTTAGCACCCCAGGAGCAGCCCTCAGCTGCTGAGGGGTGGGTGGGGGTAGGTGGATGAGTTCCCCAGCTGCCCCGCATCTCGTAGCAAGGGTTCAGAGGTGAGTGCCACAGTCTCCGGGGTCCTTAGCACTACTGAGGCGTGGTTGTGCACAGTGGTGATTTGTTCATTATACACCTTTATTGCCTTTGTTCCTTTCCCTGGATCACTTCCTCCCTTCCAGGGCTTCTTGGAGTAAACAACTTGTACCCAGTCCTTGCCTCAGGGGAGCTCAAGGGGTTGGCCAGTCGAAGGCTGGACCTTCCTGTTCTCTGTCCATCGAGATGGTCACATAAGAAGGTAGAAATGGAAGAGCACATTCACGTCTTGTTGGCTGGTCATATCAGTGATTTGAGTTGACAAATCTTTGAGTGTCTACCTCATGTCAGATCAACATGGTTTTGACTGTCAGCTCAGTATCAGCGCCCCTTTCTTTTGGTCTTGTAGAAGGGAGTCATCCCTAGATGTGGCCGTGGAAAATGGGGTCCTGGAAAAACCATTGACCCATCTGAAGCGTGCTCTGAAAATATCACAATATATGCTGACAAGACAGATTGCTGTTGCTTTCACCAAACTGTCATCCATCTGTTTATACTGCCCATGTCATTACATCTCCAGAACAGAGCTGCTGTATTTTTAACAGCCAAAATAAGCTAAAGCCAGCCACTCTTTGCTAGGTACTTTGAAATAAATTCCTCAACATACCAAGTACATGCTATAGTCACAGTTAATGAGATTTTAAGACTTTTGATGGAATAAGAATTCTTGATGACTTTTAAATATCTGCATTTGGCTAACCTCTAGGACTTATTGTCTCTCTATGTATATATATGGTTATTGGTCCCCATAATGCCCAGTGTTGCTTATCTCAAGAACACTAAGGAGGCTTTAAAGTTTTTCTCCTTTTTCCTTGAAAATCCTCCAAATTTTAAATGATGTAAGTACTTGTCAAATGTTTTCACTTAAAAACAGCTTTTAAAGAAGAACCTAAAGCTGCCATATGTGCTTTTCTATGCAATTGGTATATCTTCAATGTATCCAGGAAAGGGCAAGAAACTAGGGTGTTTGGGGAAACACAAGGTGGGGTGGGAAGCCTTCACCTTCAGGGCTACAAGGCTTCTTTTGCCTAAGAACAACTCTGGGGCTGGAGAGGAACTTCCAGAGCAGAGAATGGGAGGGAACTGGGAAGGTGAGTTCAGGAGGAGGCTGGAGATAGGGAGACTGGAGAACAGAAGGGCAGAGGAGGAGCCAGGAGTTCAGAGGGAGAGAGGATGAGGCAGTGGGAAGACAGGGAGCAGAGTTGTAGAGCAGACTCAAGATCACCCTCAGGCCAGCCTTAGCATCGGGAAGGAAAGAAAGCAAACATACAATTTTGGGGAAGGTTTTTGACACCCAAGGTTGACGTGTTTTTTTAGTTAAACCCTAACTAACTAGAAATCTCAATGAACTTGAAAACCCATTCCTGAGCAGCTGCTTAGATGCTGGATTTAAGACTAGGTAAAGATATAGACAGTTGGGTTTTTAGTGGAATTTCTAGCATCTCTGTAAATGGATTGGCAGGTGGATTCTTCAAGGGCACATTGGACTCTAGTTACTCTAGTCTCTCTCTCTTTTTGAAAGATTTTATCTATCTATCTATCTATCTATCTATCTATCTATCATCTATCTATCTATCAGAGAGAGAGTGTGTGAGAGAGCACACAAGCAGGGAGAGTGGCAGGCAGAGGGAGAGGGAGAAGCAGGCTGCCCACTGAACAGGGCACTGGATGAGGGGATCAGGACCTGAGCTAAAGACAGACACTTAAGTGACTGAGCCACCCAGGCACCCCCTCTAGTCCCTTTCTCAAAAAATGGTTAAGATCAGTGATTCTGTGTGGACCAGCAACACCTGGAGGGCATGTTAAAATACAGCTTTCTGGGTCCTGACCCCAGAAATTCTGACCCACTGGCCAGATATTTTACATTTCTGAATCATTTTACATTTCTCATTATCCCTCGTCGTCATTAACCACACTTTGAGAACCACTGCCCTAGATCTCAAACACATACCATATCAGGGT